TGTATATACTATATGTATACCTACCTACGTTAAAGTTTGACGATAAACACAAACATAGGATATTTACATAAAAATGTAGGAAACCATTAAGCAAACATCACGTCGAAAATGATATTAAAAAAATTGTGTTTTGAAAAACTAATAACATTTTTTGTTTTAAAAGTTAACATTATCTTTAAAATGAAAAATCGTATAATATATGTATAGTATAGATGGGATCCATAGAATTCAAGTTCGCAATTATTGGTAGTGCGGTTGTTTTGTGAACAAATCCAATCAATCATATTTTCTTAGTAATAACTGGTTTAAACAATTATCTTATACACAAATAAATATAATAAATATAAGGAGAAAATTATACTAGAATGTCTTCTTAATTTTATTGATGTGAGCAATTTGCGTTATAGCCATTGGGTAAATTATGTCTTTTTTATATTATCCACAATATTAATCYSAAAATGTTCAAAATAGCCATGATTTACGGTGCCAGCGTAATAGTGCTCATGCGTAACATTTTCACACCGTATTAAAAAAATAATTATCTGAATAAAACCGTTACAATGTAATCACATAAAAAGTTATTAATAACATCTAAAAATGACCATAAAATTGGCTGGCGCATTATTCAGAAATTATTATTAACACTCAAAAATCAAAATACACCGTTATTATATATACTCGTATAGGTGGCGATATTCGATTTGATTATCAACAAAATCTTTTTTTACTAACATTTATTTCTGGTAATACCTAGTTATTGTTTTTTTGAGATAGATATACAGACAAATTGAGATATACTGCATAGATCAATTAAAAAGTATCAGCATAAAYGTGATGCAAATTAAAATTATTAAGTTGTTCTGTTAGTTACTAGTTAGTAGTTATTAGGTATTACTTGCTTCATTAAACGTATCTACTTATGTTACTATTTAATATATTATCATAGATAGAAAAATAAAATTATATAAAATATATAAATAAAAAAAAATTAATATCATTATTAAAAATTACGTAAACCAAAATGCAGCAAGTCAGTTTCTTTTGCAAAAATTATACGAAATGAATGTTTTAATTTTTATGTTTATTAAAATATTTTATTATTCAACGCTATAAACTATAATGTTTTAACATGYTACACCCTAATATTAAACTTCAATAATATTATGAACTCTAGTTTTATAAATTATAAAGATTTTAGAGATTTTCTCTGATTATATAAGCAAACATCAATAGTCGATACTTAAYTAAAATAATAAAACTATTGTTTTGAGAATTTGGAATCGAAATTATAAGTAAAATTGTATTACAGGTAGTTATACTTTTTATTGATCATTTTATTATTATTAAAAAAAAATATATATATATATGTTATTTTACTGCTATAAGAAATAGCATATAACTCGTTATATTATTGTATTCAATTGTCAAACGACTCGTGTAATCGGTGAATAATCGTCAATCGTACTACTTTGCGAGTCGTGTGTGAGGTATTTAATCGTAAAGCACGACGAATATTTTTACTCGCCGAGTCACTCGCGGTTTCCCGACGGTGTCGGATACAACACGAGTGACTCGTGCTGATAAGAAATTTAATCTTGGATTTCCCCCAAAAATTTCGTATTTCATTATTTCGAATAAATATTTGGCGATTACGAGTCGTGAAGGAACATTGGCGATGACGAGCAAAGTACCTGTATACGATTGACGAATAATCGGTGAACACACGAGTAGTGTAGGAGCAACATAATTTATTACAAACATCGTACATCGTACAAACTTGGCAAGTACACTCGCCGAGTATACGCTCGCAAAGTACACGAGTCGTGTGGTACCGGCTTAATAATTGTTCGAAATATTGTGATTGAAAAATTGTGTAAGGATTACTAGCTAATCATAATAGGTAACAGACAAAATCCAACAACCATAAATGGTTACGTTGAAGGCTAGACAAATATTAAAATAAACATCCATCGTGTTCAATGAAAAATAATGCAATCTTGTATAATTAATGTAAGTATTTAATATTTTAATGTTTTTCCAGTAATTTGTAACTGGAAATAATATTGTTACGTATTTCGATTGAAGACGATTATATCGAAAAAAAGTTATAAAAGACACTCTAAAATGAAAAATATTCTGTGTATATTAGTTTTAGTATGTTTTTTGTTTAATAGTATGGCACACTCGACAATTTTTTGAAAGCCAAAATTTACTAAGTTTAGAATGTATAAAAATTATTATAATTTTTAATTTCTTTTATTTTAAAACCCAAAAATAAACATTTTACATCATTAATTAACCAAGTATTTGGTATTAAATCTAGTATTGGCTCCTTATCTGGTTCATAAATAGATATTAAAGTCCATATAGGTACTGTAAAAAAAAATAAAGAAAAAATACAAATTATTATGTCCACATTTCATATCATATTTTGAAATATATAAGACATATTTAAAGTCAAAACTTAAAATTACCTCCATAAAAATAAACAAAATATTGATAGCGTGTATATTTTATTTTATATAATATATGATGAAAATGGAAACAGATTAATATAATTATAAGAGTATAATATAATGAAATAAACATAGGAAAAATATATATACATTGATTTTAATAAGTAGTAGGTAGTTATATAGGTAGGTTTAGGAAATATAAAATATAAGTAACATAAATAATTCAGATCATAGAAAAAATAAAAAAGTTAATATACTATGCTGAATGCAATAAAGGGAAAACAATAAAAAATTGTTTGTAAGGCAAAACAACATACTTTAATTTTTGTATATATTTATTCCATTTAAAAAACAAATTTAAAGGAAAGTTATGACATTTTAAAAAGTGAGATCATCAATTAATCTTTATATTAATAAACAAATTTAAATATGTTTTTARGTTTTTGTTTTATTGGTTTTATTGGTATAAATATACAATGGACAAAAAATACCAAATGTTTGAATACTGAACTCGATTTAATTTAAATGTTTCTATTGCTCGATGTGTACCATAGAAACAAAAAAAATACAAAAATGGCACGATTAAACTAAATTTATATAAAATCAACAATATTTTTAAATTTTAAATTTATCTGAAAAACGTATCTATAATTGTAATCTATTGAGTAATTCTAACARACTATACAGCTAAYAATATACATTATGTCTTTAGTACCGAAGTAAGTACGTTGAATTAATAAATTACCTAGGTAATCATTTTTAAAAGATGATGAATTATTATCATCCCATAATYATCAAACCATTTAAGTATAATCAGGAAAGTTCAATTAAATCTATATATCATAAATTGAAGTCAATACATAGATACAGCGTTTAAAAACAATAATTTTTATTCATTATTAAGTAGGTCATGACTCATGAACCATGGACTAGGGAGAATGCTATGTTAAAGAGTATGCTTTGAGTAACTTCCTAGTTTCCTACCTAACCTTTGAGTATACTTCTCATTGACTAGGTCTTGGTAACGGATGTATTAAATTTGTGTTAAATGATAAAACACTGCTCACAAAGAATCTATTATTTAAATTATCAATACATCAAATTCAAAGTTTTATTTTAAACTAGACATCTCTTTTCCTAAAAGTTATAATATTTTTGGCTTACATAGTTAAAAATATATATAAATAATTAATAAGTAGTATCATAGTTACGAATTTATGATATAAAATCAAAATACAGGTAAARCCGTTTTTTCGGTCGATTCCCTCTGTTATCGACTCACAGCATGGTATCACGGTGTGACACTTTTATACATGTATGGTACAGGTCTCCCATGCCAATTTGGCGATTTGGTCCCGACTCCTGCTGCATGCCATTATTGACTATATCTAACCCGGTAGTATACGATTGAGAACGTTTTACCTTTTTAGCAACGCGATTGAGAACGATTGTCGGCAGATCAAAGAAACAGTATTTCGTACCTTAAAATCAAACGATTGAGAACGATTTTTCGAGCAACGTTGCCATTTATCTTAACTGTGATTTTGATGCGTTTCATTTTTTGCATTTCTTTGACAAAATTCACCTTAAATGCATTTTTCACAATTTGTTTATAAAATGAACGAAAATTCTTGTGATTAACAAAACACTTTCAGAAAACTGTCAACGGTTAATAATAAATTATTATATAGCACGACAAGGTATCATCGATAACCATTTTATCATAGCCAGGCCTTTCCGCTCAAATTACAACCGTTATAAACATATAAACCATACATACATACATAGGTACAAGTTATCGTCGATAACAACAGCTAGGCCTCGACAAGTATTACTGAATTAGTAACCAATTAGTACGTCCAGAACTAAACAAGTAACAATACTATAAAATATAAAACTTAATATACTTATTTAGTAATAAAGATAGTAAATACGATAACACGGTTTACGTATCTGCGTAAAACCAAAATATTGCCAAATTCAGTTGTTTGGTGGACAGTGAGCGCGGTAACAACGCATTATAGGTAGTGTTATAGTGTAGGTATGGTATAGTGTCGTATAATGGAAAACTTTAAAATCATAACGTCTGAACGCGGAAAAGATCTTATATTATTAAATAATGATAAATATTTATTCGCAAGAACACGCAAAGACGGATTAATGAAATGGAAATGTTCCAATAACAGTTGTAGTGCCGTTTATTAACGGAAATAGATAAAACTTTTCATTCGTCAAATGGCGAACATGTAAATCATGCAAGTAATAACAATCAAAAAATTGAAAGACAGATTTTGAGGRAAAATTGTAAACGAAAAGCTGAAGAAAACACATCGACAAGACCGTTAAAATTTTAATCTTGAAAAAATGCCTTAAGCTGAAAAATAAGTGATAAATGTATTGATTTTACAATGATCCGTTTGTTTACTTTTATTTATCAAATTAATTTAATTTATTCTGTAACCAAAAACTCAAAGTAATATAGTAGTTGATATCTTTTATATACATATATTGTATATTTTATTTCTATTTTGTATTTTTAACTAGGAAATGTGGCAACGTTGCATAAAAGTTATCAGGTAAAAACGTTCTCAATCGTGTTATTAAAAAAGGTACTGACGATAAGGACCGTTCTCAATCGTGTTCTACCCATCTAACCACCGTCCATACACAATAGCTTCCTACGCATCATTAATAATATAAATAAAATACACATATTTTAAGGCATTTTTCGAAAGCGAATGTTTTGAGAAACATTTATAGAAAAGAAGATTTACTCGAAGAGTATGATGAATATAAATATTCAAATAATAAGTATTTTAACAAAATATCAAATAATTTTCAAGTAAGCAAATTATGTCAATAATAATATATTATAGATTAATTGAAACGTTAAATTGGAAAGTAAATTTCACCAATTATAAAACTAAATAAAATATTCATTACCTATGATGTTATAATGAACTGTGTGACAGTAAGTTAAATATTAATAATAATAAATGGATTACAAATTAGTTAAGTTTGGTCTGATAACAAAAATATAAATTATAACCAAACCACCTTCTCAAAAATAAAGACAATATTTAAAGATACATACAATTTTCAAATATTTGGTCAATCGACGGTAAAAGAATATAATCTTCTCGTTTAATTTTAATTAAATTTTAAGTCATACATTAAATATTGGTGATATAAATATACCTAAATTTATTTTAGATCCTAAGAGTACAAAAAATTAACAATTCACAAATATATGGGATGTACATATTGCACAAAGAAGAGATGGAACTTGCCAATAGCAGTGGTACAGTTGAGGAGAAAACTTTGTTCCATTGCACTTCCATAAGCAATGCAAAAAGTATTGCAAAAAACAATATTGACTGGCGATTGACGAATAGAACTAGATTTGGAAAAGGTGCGTGTTTTTCACCGTGTCCATATTATGCCAATTCATATGCTGGCAGTAAAGGAGGTAAGTTTTATTCACATTTTGGTACTTTCATTAATAAATAATAATAATACATATTTCAATATTTGTATGACGTTAGCCTTCCTAATTGTCAAAGTTCTGGTGAAAAATATCGAAACCACAGACATTGCTTACGACCTAGTAATACCTAAGACAAACGATTGTGACACTACACTAGGGAACGATGGAAGCGTTTATGTTAAATATGACGATAATACATTCTACCCGAAATATATTGTTCKTTATTCCTAAAACACAAATATAAAAATATTGTTGATTTTGATATTTTAAAAGCDTTGCGTCTTAGACACTCGGACATTTGAGTTGGATTTAAAAAATCAAAACTGTATATACAAGGTCTAGGTAACGAATAGAATTGACT